GCCTGGGCTACAGACCGAGACTCCGTCTCAAAAAAAAAAAAAAAAAAAGGTGTGGCAATGCTTGAAGAAGTGGTAGCTGGAGAGAGGTCAGGTGAATATGGTGGATGAGGCAAAATGTCACAGTCCGATTTGTTCAACTTTTGAAGCACTGGTTGTGCAACATGCGGAAGGGCATTGTGAAGAATTGGGCCTCTTTCTGTTGACCAATGCTGACTGCAAGCATTGCAGTTTTTGGTGCATCTCATGGATTTGCTGAGCATACTTCTCAGATGTAATGGTTTCCCCGGGATTCAGAATGCTATAGTGGATCAGACCAGCAGCAGACCACAGAACAGTGACCATGACCTTTTTTTTGGTGCAAGACTGGCTTTGGAGCATCTTCTCAGTCCATCCACTGAGCTGGCCATCACCGGTTGTCATAAAAAATCCACTTTTTCTCGCACATCAACATCTGACCAAGAAATGGTTTGTTGTTGTGTAACATAAGGGAAAACGACACTTCAAAACAATGATTTTTTTTTCAGTCAGTTCATGAGGCACTCACTTATCGAGCTTTTTCAATTTACTTCAAATGCCCAAGGACTGTAGAATGGTCCACATTGAGTTATTTATGGCAACATCTCAAGTAGTTGTAAGAGGATCAGCTTCACTGATTGCTCTCAACTGGTAGTTATTAACTTCTGGCGACCAGTCACTATGCTCCTAATTTTCAAGACTCTCCTCCCCTTCGCAAACTTTCTTGAACCGGCCGGGCACAGTGGCTCAAGCCTGTAATCCCAGCACTTTGGAAGGCCAAGGCAGGTGGATCACGAGGTCAGGGGTTCGAGACCAGCCTGGCCAAGATGGTGAAACCCCGTCTCTACTAAAAATACAAAAATCAGCTGGGCATGGTGGCGCGGACTTGTAATCCCAGCGATTAGGGAGGCTGAGGCAGGAGAACGGCTTGAACCCAGGAGGTGGAGGTTGCAGTGAGCCAAGATCATGCCACTGCACTCCAGCCTGAAAGAGCAAGACTCCATCTCAAAACCAACCAACCAACCAACCAACCTTGAACAATCACTGCACTGCACATCAACAGTTCCTGAGCCATATGCATTGCTGATACGGTGTTTCCTGTTGTTTTACAACCCATTTTTAACTCAAATAAGAAAACTGCTCCAATTTGTTTTTTTGTCTAACATCATTTTCATAATCTAAAATAAACATGAAGGCTGGGCCCGTGGCTCACACCTGTAATCCCAGCACTCTAGGAGGCTGAGGCGGGCAGACCATGAGGTCAAGAGATCGACACTATCGTGGCTAACATGGTGAAGCCCCTTCTCTACTAAAAATACAAAAAATTAGCCGGTGTGGTGGCACGTGCCTGCAGTTTCAACTACTCAGGAGGCTGAGGCAGGAGAATCGCTTGAACCCGGGAGGAGGAGGTTGCAGTGAGCCGAGATTGCGCCACTGACTCCAGCCTGGTGACAGAGCGCAACTGTCCCTAAAATAAAATAAAATAAAATATAATAAAATGAACAGCAAGTAGTAAGTCATTACCAAAAAAACAAAGCAAGAAACGCCCATTAAAATGATATATAACATAACCACATTTATTTAACAATGTAGTCCAACATCAAATGGCAAACTCCAATAATGCAAAAACCACGATTACTTTTGCAACGACTTTCTAAGACAATATTTTGTAAAACATGTACAAGGAAATTCGCTGACATATTACTGCCATTATATACACGTAAACAGGTTACATAAATTACGGTATATTTGTCCCACAACACACTACGAAGACATAAAAGATGCTTTACGATAAAATATTTCCAATGTTCCCGATGTTTTCGATAAAGAAAAATAATGGTAAGAACATGAACAAAACTAGAATATTTTGTAAAACAACACAAAAAAGACAAACCCTTTTGTATAATATTTAACTATAGTAAAAACTGTAACTACCTTTTGGTGGAGGGAAGAGATTTTTGTATTCTTCTTTGGGCTTTTTAGTAATTTCCAAATGTCCATGCATTATTTGGATTCCAAAATAACAGTTTAGACTTTGATAGTGGAATTATAGATTCTTACCCTCTAAAAAGTTCAGTAATACATTGTTTTATAAGCTCTTTTAAAAAACTTCACTCCTACGAGATCGCGCCACTGCACTCCAGCCTGGATGACAGAGAGACTGTGTCTCAAAAACAAAACAAAACAAAACCAAAAAACCTGCTTCACTCCTAAACACTCCTATTTACAAGATCTTTTCTATATAAGAAATTTTTAAATAGGCGGGGGCAGGGGGGAATCTCAAAAATACGCATAATGTTTTATGATAAAAACATTAGGTACTTCAAAGTCCAGAAATAAGAACCACGAAAATGGGTAAACAAGTCCATAAGAATGTCCTAATTTTGCGATTTCATTCTAAAATATTACACCAGGAAGCTAATTACAGACTCATTTGAATCTGACCAAACAAAACATCTTTCAACTACCCTTTTTTCCATTCTAGTATTCCTTTACTAATCCACATAAAGTTTTTCCAGGTGGTCCCCCGCAATTCTAAGGATTTTTAGACATTATGACTCACCTCAGTAATCACCGAGATGTTCTGTTTTTTTTCAGCACGACTGCCAAAAAACCCAGTCACTGTTAAGTCACACAATCATTTTCTAGTCTTGGGCCCCACCAATACAGCTGCAGGGTTTAAAACAGAGGTACTGAGGGTAACTATTGGGATCTATCCAGTATGACTAGGTCACTCACTAGAAATGCCAACATGCCTTTCACTTTTTTATGAATACTTTTGAGCAAAATCACTGTTACGAATAAAAAACTGATTCTGTTTAGTTGTTTTCTTACTGAGAAATCTTAGTCCACGTGGATTACTGACGATATGTCACATTTAAAAAATTACTCCATTCTATAAAACAACTAGCCAATTTATACTCCAATTCCACTATTTAAAAATATGTTTCGTTTAACAGAATACAAAATGTTAACAGAACAAGACCAACGTCTATCTTATCGGGGACGTCCTTTTAAGATGTTTTCAGTCCCTGCACAACCAATCTTTCCTTTCAAAAAGCAGCATAAGCCTCGCGCAGAGTGACACAGACGCTTGTCTAAGGTCACAGAAGCACCGTCTGTGCTGGCAAGTAAATTCCTCAGCATCCAAAAAGCCAGCGCTTTCTCCAGTTTCCTCATAGCTTTTTCGCGTGAGGAGCACGCGGAAACCTCTACCCATGCAGAATGTTTCTAAGAATCACTTCTGACCTGTCTTAACTAAGGAGACTCCCATAGTTTGTGCCAATCAGGTGGAGAATATGGCAAGTATCCAAAATGCACTTCCAAAGACAGGAAAGACTGCTCAGAGAGAGGCAGAATTCAGAAAATCTCTCACATTCTCGAAAGCCCGAAAAAGCACCGCCAAGAAAGACGTTTGCCTCTCCTCCACCTCTTTCTCTCGGCGGGAGAGGAAGCCTCGCCCCCATTCATCCCGCCCCTTCTCCCCACCCCGCCGCAGGGAGAACTTTTACCATGGCTTCCTGCGGCCCCTTCACTTCCGGTGCCGGTGCCGCTAGGGCTGCGCCATCCCCCCCAGTCAATCGGACAACCACAGCCTCCAACTGACCTTTCTCACAGCTCTGAGACTCCTCCGGCCAAGACTAGGTGCTGTCCTGGAGGAAACGGTGGAGGACGGACGCACAAAAACCAATCTACCTGATGAAAACTCCGTTCCCTTCTTGCCAGAAACATAAAATGCGATGGAGCTACGGCGACCGCTGCCGAGACAAAATGGCGCCGAGAACCTGGTTTAGCGCAGGCGCCTTGGAAAGACCCTGCCCCGCCCCCGTGCAAGCCCCTGGCTGCAATTCTGGGTTCCGTTTCCATGGGACACTCCGCCGCCAATCCTCGTGCCGAACTGCTCTTCCTGACCCTTCAATTCACCAATCAGTGCCCAGTCAAGCACATCCGGAGTCGTCTCTACCAATCATTTCTCAAGACTTGCTTACTCAATAACCAACTCTCCAATAACGTTGGTCTTCGGAAAAAGCCAATCATAAGTGGAAGATGTCCTACCTGCTGTTTTTCGCACCAATCCATGAAGTTTCAGAGCTACATCCAATGAGGACGGCAGGTAGCGAGGTCCTATCCGAAGCTCTTCGGCGTCATGAACAGCCAATAGGAGTTCGTGTAGAAGCGAGTCTGCTCAACAGCTTGTTATTTGGTGGATTGTGGCAGTAAATCGGGGCGAGTGGGGAACCGGGCGCAGGAACTGCAGCCGCGGTTGGGAGTGGTGCTGCCCGGACGGGGGCCCACGGAGGTCAGAGGGGAGGAGGACTCTGGAGCTGACAGTGCGCACTTCACCCGCAGTTGGTAGGCGGGGAGAGGGGAATCCGGGGATACTGAATGGACGAAGCGGCAGTGGCAGCAGCTGCTGCTGCCCGGGGTCCCGGTGCAGTTGGAAGCTTTGGAGGTGGGGAGAGGGATGCTAGGCAAGTGGCGCGGCGAGCGCAAGAGAAGGGGCCAGCCATGGAGCAGCGGCAGCAACTGCAGGAACCGCCGCCGCAGCTGCAGCCGCCTCGTCCGCTTCCCCGGGTTCCCGGGAAAATGGCTGTGGGGCTGGCCGCGCCGCTAAGTTTGCTTCCGCGCCGTGAGGAGCGGGCTGCTTGGGGGAGCCGTTCCCCAACTCCGCGGCGCGTCCACCTCTGCGGAGTCCGTGGCAGGACTCGAGGGGCTGCGAGCTGATACCTCTCTGGGCTGTACAAAAAGTTGAGGCGGGCGCTGGGAGGAGGCAGCGGCTGCTGCGGTGCGGCTCCCCTCCCCTCCCACACCCTGTCCGGGCCACCTCCCCTCCTCCTCCCCTCAGTCCCCCGCCCCCTCCCCCGCGCGGGTCTCCCGGGGCCCTGGCGGCTCCCGGCTGAAGGCCGCGGCCCCTGCCCCTTTGGGTGAAGGAGCGCTTCTCCTTCCTGACATGGTGCAGAGCAAAGGAAGGAGAGCAATGGCGCCGTGACACTCCGCTGCCGCCACCGCGGGCCCGGGGCGGGCCGAGGGGGCCGAGCAGCGGAGGCGGGGCGCGGGCCGAAGTCGGGGTATCCAGGGGACAGCGGAGCGGAGGCTCGGCGGTCGCCTCCGCGGGGGACCTGGGGAAGCCCGAACGGCGCCCTGCCCTTTTCCGGAGCTATCTGTCCTGGGGCTCCGAGTTCAGCATTCCGGGTCAAAGTGGTCAGCGAGGCGGGGGCGCGGTGGGCCGCTGGCAAGCTCCGGGGCGGAACGGGCTGCCCTTTGGCGCGCGTGGGGTTCTCGCTGCCCCCTCCGCTCCTGCATCCTGGCTGCCCTCAGAAGGGGTCTTATCCCTTGGCTGGTGAGGATTCTGCCCCTCCCCGCTGGCGTTTGTTTACTTTCTTTCCCTTGGTCGCTCCCCGCAGTTGACTGATTCTGTCTGTGCCTCTTTCCCCCTCCCCGTAGTTCTAGCGACTGCGACGATAGCTCGCTGAGCTGGAACCCCACAGATCACCAACAAAAATGAAGGTAAGTGGAGTCAACGCTGCCCCGATCCTCGCGCCTTGGACACTGCCAGTCGTAAGGCTAGTGCCGTGGAATGTCATTTGTTTTGCTCCTCAAAATTGATGTTCCTACTGATCAGCAGTTTCGGCATAGGAGGGTGTGTTGAATGGGTGAGAAATGATCTGTGTGTCTAAATGCGGAGTTTGGGCCCTCTCTGTGGCAGTACTTTGGAAAGGCTGGTGCAGCCTTTCAATTGTTGTCCATTCGGATAGTATTTTTAAACACTTCCTGTGTTGGCAGCAACCTTTGCAGAAGTAAAGCTTTTGTCCTGCTTTGGTTCTTTGGGGGATTTTTCGAAAATTTTTTTCTTCCTCAGTGCCAATGCGATTTTGTAAAAGAAAGAGTACGTGGATTAAGTAATTAAGTAAAGAAGGTGTCATTTCTTCTGTGTGTAAAGTGAACTTATGTGGCTAAAATATTTGAAGTTGAACTATAATAATAGTTTTAGTTAAATCTTTCCAGTAAATATTTTAAAACATATACTTATTCTAAAAAGATACATATTCTACTGAGGATGACTGCAAATATCAATATGTGGACAGTTAAAGGGAAAGGATCTCATATAGCATTCTTGAATGCTGTGGCCATTGAATGTTTCAGGGCAGATTTTTATTTGCCAAAAGCATTCCTATTCAATTTGTATTTTTTGTAAACGTTCTTAAAAGGTAGCCAATTCCTGTCTTATTTACTGTTTCAGTATATTAAGCTCTGAAATATAGCATTTTCCCAAACTTTCTCATGGTTTTCTATTTTCTCCAAGTAAATGACATATTTAACCTTCTTTAATATTACTTGGGAAAACTTAGTAGAAAACAAAAAATCATTTTCTACTTAAAAACGTATCTCCAAAGTGTACACTGTTAACTTTGCACTTAACAATGTTAAGTTGAACTTGTATGGATACACTTTAACTTCTGGAAAAAAAAGGTAAAATGACAGATTGAGATAGCAATCATCCTGTTACTGTAAAGATTAAAATGAATGGTAGAGTGAAATTTCTTGCATCATTCTATGTATCATTCTGGTCATGTCCATTTGCTGAAAGTAGATGTTTCTTAGTAACGCTTGTTTTTTTATACTAAGAAGATCAGTGTGGTAAACTAGGTATGTCTACAGGTCTTGAACCATCGGTTCATATCTGCATTCCAGCTGAATTCAGACTTAAAACCTTTCAAATGCAGCTTTTAGCTAATGAATTTTCCAAATCGATACTCTCCTTATGAAAAGATGTTACCTTTATGTACCTTTGTCAATAAACAATTATATATTGTTAGTGTTAATGTTAGTAGCAATATTTATTTTAATTAATTTGAAAAATTTCAGGAAGCTATAAATGAATAACTTAGTTTTATGGTATGTGTAATATGAAATATTTTTTCTGATTTTTTTATTTTTCTGCTTATATAAATAGAATTTTTGAAAAATTTTGTATCTGGAAAAAACATATTTACTCACTGATAATTTTGAATTACAACTTTAAAACATTTTATCGTATCAGGACATCAGTCTATAAAATGAAAGGTTGCTCATCAAGTGTTTGCTTTCGGGTATTTTTCTAATTTTCAATGATATTAATAAGCAAATCATTTTGTTATTTTTCATGCTTCAAACACAACCTTTTAATGCGACTTGAAGTTAGAGCAGGGAGGCATAGTAATGACATTCACAGTTTATGTTCCTTTCACCAGGCGGCGGATGAGCCTGCCTACCTGACAGTGGGAACTGATGTCAGTGCCAAGTACCGGGGTGCCTTCTGTGAGGCAAAAATTAAGACTGTGAAAAGGCTGGTGAAAGTTAAGGTAATATTTGTTTTTATGCAATAGTTTTATTAGCTGTAGATTGAAGAAATTTGAGGAGAGAGAGACTGCAAATCAGCATTTTATTGAGTCATTATATGCCCTTTATATACTATACTTACAGGAAAAAAGCACATCAAAATTCAAGAAATAAAGAACTCAGAAGGAGAAATTATTCCAAAATGCTACCACCAAAATACCATGCTCATGATATTTCCTGTCATTTGGATCTTAACTATTTGTGGTGGCATACTTGGACTGTAATCTATTTTCTCCCCTCATTTAATATTCAGGTAGAGACAATTTCAGTGTTTAGGACAATATAAATAACAACAGGAATTATGTTTTCAAGACAGTGTAAAAAAGCATTAAAAAAGTTTATTTTGGGGCTGGGCATAGTGGCTTATGCCTGTAATCCCAGCACTTTGGGAGACTGAGGCGGGTGGATGACCTGAGGTCAGGAGTTTGAGACCAGCCTGACCAACATGGTGAAATCCCGTCTCTACGAAAAATACAAAAATTAGCTGGGTGTGGTGGCGGGCACCTGTAATCCCAGCTACTCAGGAGGCTGAGACAGGAGAATTGCTTGAACCCGGGAGGCGGAGGTTGCAGTGAGCCAAGATTATGCCATTGCATCCCAGCCTGGGCAACAGAGCGAGACTCCATCTCCAAAAAATAAAAAAATTAACCTGGCGTGCACATCTGTAGTCCCAGCTACTCGGGAGGCTGAGGCAGGAGAATCGCTTGAACCCAGGAGGTGGAGGTTGCAGTGAGCCGAAATCGCACCACTGCACTCCAGCCTGGGTGACAGAGAGAGGTTGACTAAAAAAATATATATATATTTTTGACTGTGCAAGGTGGCTCACACCTGCAGTCCCAGCACTTGGGGAGCCTGAGTGGGGGGATTGCTTGAGCCAAGGAATTCAAGACCAGCCTGGACAACATAGTGAGACCTGATCTGTCCAGAAAAAAAAAATTAAAAAATTAGCCAAGTGTGGTGACAGGCACCTGTGGTCCCAGCTACTCTGGAGGCAGAGGTGAGAGAATTGCTTGAGCCTGGAAGGTCAAGACTGCAGTGAACTGTGATTGTGCCACTGCACTGCAGGCCAGATGACAGGGCAAGACCCTGTCTCAAAAAAAAAATTTTTTTTAAAGATGCTTTTACTCAGAAATAACTTTTTTTGGTGATTCCTGCCAGTCATTTTCTTATATGAATATATTTTTAATAGTCTTTATTACTTTATATGAAATACAAAAGTAATCTATGCTTATTATAAACATTTTTAACATTATAGAGGCATATAATATAGTTCATGAAGTCTTAAAAAATTTTATTGAAGTTGATTAATAATTTCACATATTCATTGGCTACATAGTCATGTTTTGATACATATAATATATAGTGATTAAATCAAAATAATTTGCATATCCATCTTCTGAAACATTTTTCATTTATTTGTGTTGGGAATATTCAGTATCCTCCTCTTAGCCATTTGAAACCATGTAATATAGCATTGTTAACTAGTCATCCTATAGTGGTGTGGAACACTGTGAAAGTCTTTTTTGATATGACTCCAAAGAGATTTGATGTGGTCTTCCAGATTTTTTTTACTGTGCCAGTCGTAAAATTATTGTCATTGGTATTGGATCATGCTATATTGCAGTTTGCTTTATTCACTTATATATCTGATGTTTTCCTACCAGAATTAAGCACCATAAAAGGAGGAAACGTCTGACTTGTTCTATGCCCAACACATAGAGTAGTGCCTGATACATAGTGGACACTCAAAATTTGTTGAATGAATCAATGAACTAGAGCAGTGATTCCTAAAGTGTGGCCCCAGATCAGTAGCATCAGCCTTACTTGGGAACTTGTTCCAAATGCAAATTTTCCCCACCCCAGATCTACTTCATCAGAAACTCTGGGGGTAAGATCCAGTAATTGTATTTTAATAAGCCCTTTAAATATTTCTGATGCATGTTAAAAGTTTAAGAATCAGGCTGGGCACGGTGGGTCATGCTTGTAATCCCAGCACTTTGGGAAGTCAGAGTGGGCAGATCACTTGAGGCCAGAAGTTTGAGACCCACCTGGCCAAAATGTTGAAACCCCGTCTCTAGTAAAAATGCAAAAAATTAGCCAGACATGGTGGTACATGCCTGTAATCCCAGCTACGTGGGAGGCTGAGGCATGAGAATTGCTTGAGCTGGGGAAGTGGAGGTTGAGACCCTGTCTGGGGGGAAAAAAAAAAACGTTTGAGAAACATTGACTAGAGGAGTGTGATTTGTAGGGTAAATAGATGTATCTATGATTATTATAAAACTTATGTTTCAATTTTCTTGATGAACCTTCAAGTATTATTAGGATAGGATGTCATTTGACATTCATTTCTTTTTGTTTCATATAGTGTTTTTATCATGTCAGCTATATAGGATTTGATTACTCTATATTTATTTGGGATTCTTTAGCAATTCAAATTTGGTATTAGTATTGTGTGTGTGTTCTTATTTACTTAAAATTAATACAACGATTGTTTTAGGAGGTCTTATCATGCATTACCTAGATTCTGAATTTATTTGGACCATCTGTTATTTGGACCATAGTAATCAGCCATCTATTATGGATGGTTACTCTGTGTATTTAGATGTGTAGTAGAAGGGAGCACTTGTTTGTATCATTGCATATTATGATTATTGTTTAGCTTCACTTTATAAAGGATCAGAGTTGTGGTTTTAATTTGTTTACCTTTCATATAGGCAATACAGTTTGATACTTTTTTTTTTTCTTTGTGTACTTGGTGACAGAACCTTTTATGACTTGTTGATAAAAAGCAATAAAGGCAGTTTTTTTTTTTACAGTAATCACTACAGATTATTATATAGTTCATTCAGTAAACAGTTATTGAGTGCTGGTAATATGCATTGACACTTGCTAACTGTTGGGGATATAGCAGTGAAGGGAGGACTCGCCCTCAAGGAGCTCACAGTTAATAAGAGAATGTAGTAAGTATTATAGCAGAGGTCACCACAGCATGCTAAGAAAGCATAAAGACATTATTGTTACAGTGTTACTGTAAATGTATTTGTTTTAAAAGTAATATGCAAATTATCGTGCAAAATGTTTTTCAGGTACTCCTGAAACAGGACAATACCACGCAATTGGTACAAGATGACCAAGTAAAGGGTCCTTTAAGAGTATGTATGTTGTACAGTTTAAAATCTAAAATAATCATAGATTTATACCATATTTACTGAATTTACATTTCTACATAGACTTAACATTTATGAGAACGTTAATCAGAAAACAATACATATGAAGGGTTTAAATATAATTAGTATAAATTATGATATTGCAATGGCTGTATTCTAAGTTTTAGAACACTAAACATCTTTTAGAAGGGTAATTTAATATATATAAACATGTTAAGTTTTTCACCTGCCTTTCTGTTTTGAATTCTTGAACTGGATACCTGGCTTTGTTTTTCAAATTGTTGCTGTATCTGAGGTGATGTTTAGCCTTCTAAGTTGAGTATCATAACCATCAATCTTCGGTTGTTCTAATTTACCAAGCAAGCTATATTCACTTCCTAATTCAATTTAATGAATACCTAGATTATGTTTTCCAGCCATTTCTGGTCATTTGTTTATGTAATAAATCTGTTATATCAGAGTACCATTTTGGTTAATATCTGATATACAAAGGTCTGGAAACTGAAAGAAGGTCAACTGGTCCATCCCTATCTCTCCAGGTGAACCTTTATCTAAAAGGTTCCTTAGATACAAATGCTGAATCCAATATTCATATTTCTGTGAAAGAAAATTGATGCTATTTTGGTGGTCTTATAATTTTACAGTTCTTCTATTTAATTTTCTTGAAGTCAGTGTGATATAGTGGAAGAGCTCTAAAGTAAGATTTAAGAGACTGGGCTGTCATGCTGGACTCTGCAAATTATTTTCTCTTTCTGAACTGCAATTTTCCATGTGTAAAGTAGGGGTAATAATAGCTACCTAAATTTTGTCAAAGTGTTTTGGGGCTCAAATTGCATAATACATAGATAAGTACTATGAATGATAAAGATCTAAGACAGTGTAAGATAGAATTATCATAAGGATGGTATTTATTTTTCTTACCTAGATAATAGAGTTGGTGGAAGTGATTTGGTTTATTTGTTTAAATTTGGTAAGGAAATTTGGATTTCACGTTTTAGGTTGGAGCTATTGTTGAAACAAGGACATCTGATGGATCTTTTCAGGAAGCTATTATCAGCAAGTTGACAGATGCTAGTTGGTATACCGTGGGTAAGTAATTAAGTAATTTAACACATTTAACACATAGATTTGATTTGGACTTTGCATGTATCTGTGTTTTGTGGATAGACCAAATCATTGTGTTGGTGGAGAAATATGTATTATTTCCTATCAGTTTACTGGATATAGCTGGCTAAAATTCTAAGAATGTCCTGTAGGTAACAAAAATAATTATCTCTTACAGTAGCTTGGCCACTTGTGTCTATTTCATCCAAGAATGTACTTCTATTTTAGGTTATTTTAATGTTTCTCTTCAAGAAGGTTAGATCACATTATTGTGATCACTTTTTCTATAATTACAATTAAAATTCCATAGTTGTGATCTTTATTGTATTGCTACATATTTTATATAAGGGTAATGTAGATGTTGCCAGACAATTTACAGATTTAAAAAATCCTGACCACAGTAGATTCAAGAATAGGTGATTGTAACTTAGTTTTTGATTTTTGACACAGTGTGGGTGCTCATATTAACAGCTTTCAAGGTCGGATACGGTGGCTCATGCCTGTAATCCTAGCACTTTGGAAGGCTGAGGCAGGTGGATCACTTGAGGTCAGAAGTTCAAGACCAGCCTGGCCAACATGGTGAAACCCCGTCTCTACCAAAAATACACAAATTAGCTGGGTGGTAATGGCGCATTCCTGTAATCCCAGCTACTCAGGAGGCCGAGGCATGAGAATCGCTGGAGCCTAGGAGGCAGAGGTTGCAGTCAGCCCAGATAGTGCCACTGTACTCCAGCGTGGGTGACAGAGTGAGACTCGTTCTCAAAAAAAACACAAAAAGCAGCTTTCAAGAAAGATATAGATGTTCCTAATATGAATGCATTCTTAACATTCCATTCATAATCTTATACTGGCTTTAGATAACTTTATTGTATTAATAGTAAGAAGCAACAAGTGTCATAATACATGTAAGTTAAAACCTAAAAGTAGTACTTAAATAGTTGCTGTCATTATGTTGATGAGAATAGCATTAGGTGACATTTTCAAATCTCCTCTCCGTACTTTCAAACTACACAGTCCTGTGGATAACATCCAATCTATAGCATTGTTGGTTTTTATACTTATTTCTTCGTTTAAGAGGTATAGTTATTTTGTGGTTTTCTTGTAGAAATAAAAGAAATGACCATTTAAGTTTACTTTTAGTTTACTTGATTTGTTGCTTTGGGTAAAAATCATTCCAGTTGATGCTCATTGTTGTGAAGAACTATGCTTTGGTTAAAAATGTCTCCGTCTTACCCTGTGCCTTCTATTAGTAGTACCAGTTTGCTATGTGTAACTACTGTTTTCGAACCTCTTTTATTCTTCCTGTACTTGCTAGAATTTAGTGTTGGTTCACAGTGGTGCTATTCTGAACTACATATTTTTAGGAAGCTTAGTTGTGGCTATTGATATTTGTTAAATATTTAAAAACTAAGTGGCCGAATGTGGTGGCTCACACCTGTAATCCCAGCACTTTGTGGGGGCGAGGTGGGTGGATCACTTGAGGTCAAAAGTTCGAGACCAGCCTGGCCAACATGGCGAAACCTCGTCTCTACTAAAAATACAAAAATTAGCTGGGTGTGGTGGCAGGCGTCTGTAATCCCAGCTACTCATGAGGCTGAGGCGGGAGAATCGCTTGAATCTGGGAGGCAGAGGTTGCAGTAAGCCTAGATCATCCCATTGTACTCCAGCCTGGGCAACAAGAGCAAAACTATCTCAAAACAAATAAAAACTAAACTTAATGTTAACTCTTAGAGATTAAGTAAATATACCTTTGCTGTATTAAACTAAGACCTGATAAAAATTACAGGTGTGTGTAGAATCACTGGAAAATATATGATGGATATTCGGATACTAATATTGCATATTATATTGTACTCACTATAAAGGTTGTACTCACGTTACTTATGAAGCTTTACTGATAAAATGCGTATGCTCTACAGAAGGGTTACTTTTCAAGTTTTCTCATTTTGGGTTTCTTTATCCCAGAGTAGTTATTCAATTATGAATAGCAACCTTTGTCCACTACATGAGTAGCATTTTAGTGTTTCTAAAAACTAGTCACTACTAAGCATTCTCTATGGTGATTTTCTGTGTTGGATAATTACAGAAGAAATTGTATAATTCTTGTTCTCAAAGAGCTTTAGAATCTTAATTGCATATAATTGAGGTATCAAGCATTAGTGTACATAAGAATCACTTGGTGCTTGCTTAGAAAAATGAGGATTTGAGGACGCCAAGCCTCTCTAAATAGTAGGCCTGGGGTTGGCAATACAAGAATGTTTTAGTAAGCATGTCAGTGTTTCTGATGCAGGTAGTTCACACTTATAAAAACAGGGAAAAACAGATTTATTTGGGAGACAAATTCAAAATATTAAAGATTTTTGCAGTTACATGCATGAAGGAAATTCATAAAAAGATTTTGAAAGGTACTGTTCCATTGAGAAAACTCAAGATAGCACTGCTATGAAGAACATTTAGTTATTGAAGGAAGTGGATCACATAAAGAATGATCAGAGTATAATGACCTAAGTTATCAGTTGATTTAAAAAAACAGTAAAATGAAATGTAAACCTCTTGGCTTATGAACATCCTGTATTTTTCTTTCAGTGAGTACCCACTACCTATTGGGTTTAATTGCTCTTTTCTAGAATTTTTCTTGATTTCTAGTTCCTAGCAAAGTATTATGTGGGTATAATCAGAAAATTATTCAAAGTGTTTATGACCTCCATTACCTTTTTGGTTTCATGAGATACCAGAAATATGTCAGATTATTAAAAATAAAACAAGAAGATACCACATTGCTGGTTTGGATCAAATAGGAGTTATGATCATTAGTGATCTAAAGTTATCATTAGAGTCAGTGATAGCAACTGCTTCTTACATAATATGGGTATCAATTTCCCTTCTGTTAAACTTGATTAACCAATTTTGAAAGAGATTATGGATATAGTATGACTCAGTTTTTAAAATATCTGGTAATATCTTACCCTCTGATGGTTTATTTCTTTGGTTGTTTGTTTGTTTTTGTTTGTTTGTTTTAGAGGCAGGTCTTGCTCTGTTGCTTTTGTTCAGTAGCACTATCATAGCTCCCTGCAGCCCCGAATTCCTGGGCTCAAGCAATCTTACCGCCTTAGCCTCCCAAAGTGTTGGGATTACAGGTGTGAGCCACTGCTCCCGGCTTCCCCTTTAATGTTGAACAGTAAACAGCACCAACTCAAAGGGATTTTTTGTTTTTGTTTTTGAGCAATAGAAATATTTCCTCTTCTTACCATTCCTACCATAGTTTATTCATTGATAGTTCTTATCCTTGCCATTAAAGATAAGGAATCTGTAATATATGGAAGTGTGTTACCTGTTCAGTCATTCAAAAGGTGTCAAATTGAGCCAAGATATGAGCAGATGAATGGGCTCTATGAGAGATTTGGGCTGGTTAGAGCCCAAATCTCTAGTTATGTTTAAAGAAAAAAGGAGGCTGGGCGGTGGCTTAAGCCTGTAATCCCAGCACTTTGGGAGGCCGAGACGGGTGGATCACGAAGTCAGGAGATCGAGACCATCCTGGCTAACACGGTGAAACCCCGTCTCTACTAAAAAATACAAAAAACTAGCCGGGTGACGTGGTGGGCGCCTGTCAGTCCAGGCTACTCGGAGAGGCGCTGAGCAAGAGAATGGCCTAAAAGACGCGGGGACAGGCGGACAGCTTGCGCAGTGAGCGCTGAGATCCGGCCTGCACTCCAGCCTGGGCGACAGACGAGACTCCGTCTCAAAAAAAAAGAAAAGAGGAATTAATATGTCAGTTAAATGGTTCCACATAACTCACGCCTGCAACTGACAACTGTCAGAAAACATTCTTGAAGGTACTCTATAATATTGTTGTTTTGTAATATGAAAAACATATTACTTCGAAAAACAGAGGAAAAGGTTAAAGGATAAAAATTTCGAGTAGATTCCTAGCTATTAAGACTTTTGAAGAATGTACAACACACACATCATTTATCAAGGTTTAGCGCACTAAAATTCTTATCAATCTATATTAACATGTTTTTGTAACAAGACATGCTTAAGATCAGATTATTTTGTTTCTGTACTTTGTGTTATTCGTTCTCTGAACATTGGTGTATATCAGATTTTTGTGGTACGGTTTCTAGTCTAGATATTGAGGTAGAGGAGGGTTTAGAATCAGACTGGTGAATTAATTAAATATTTGTAGAAGTGTCGCTGCAGGGTTTTATAAGGTTTTTAATGTAGTCAGACTTTTTTATGGACAGAATGTTAGTAATCAAAAAATCAGAACCACAAAGAATGTTTTCAAACCCCAGGTGGCTATTCTGCTAGATTATTCCTTTAAGAAAATTAAAGTAGTGGCTAAGCGCGGTGGTCAAGCAGTGTAATCCCAGCACTTTGGAGGCCGAGACGGGGCAGATCAACTGAGGTCAGGAGGATCGAGACCATCTGGCGTTAACCGGGTGAAACCCCATCTCTACTTTAAAAAAAAAATGTCAAAAAAATAGCCCTTTTCCCCTGTATCCCATGACCGAGGGAGCAGGAGAATTGGCATAAACGCCGGGAGGCGGACTTGATTGCAGTGATGGCCCCACTGCACTCCAGCGCTGCGACAGACGAGACTCCGTATCAAAAAAAAAAAAAGAAAGAAAGTAGTAAGCAAAAACAATGTGTTTAGTCCTATGATAAGCTTTAACTCATTTTTTAAATGGCCTTCCCTAAGACTTAGTTCTCCCATGATATTTTCTTAATGTAATTATGTATTTGAGTGTTAATTTCTTAAATTTACAGATTCCTGGAGTTGTTTTTGTTTTTTTTTTCTTTTTACCTTAGCTGCTGAGGGACTTCTGTAGTTATCACAGATGATTCTATGAATAACAGAACTATTGAAGCTAAAGCAATCTTGATCAAGAAGAACAAAACTGGAGACATACCACCTAATTTCAAAATATACTACAAAGCTATAGTAATCAAAACATCATGATACTGGCATAAAAACAGACACA